GGTATGTATGTGTCATCAGCTTACCTGGAGGCCTGTCTCCAGTTACAGTGGGAAACTGATTTCCTTGGGGAGGCTGAAGGCCTCAGGTAGTATCTTTTTTTTTTTTTTTTTTAAGCAAAGAGTGGGCCTTCCAAAAAGGGTGAAGACAAAGGAGCATGTAGAGCTTCCCTTGTCATGAAGTTTCCCTTCATTATGCATAGAATTCCAGAGACCCTTGTAAAGCCAAAATGCTAAAAATTTTCGGAGTTTTTAAATCTTAAAAAATATTTTTATAAAATACGTTCTTACAAGAGACACATTATAGATTAATATTTCATTTTACCTTACCTCAGACATACTAAAAAATGATTTAAAAATATCCTCCTATTATTTTTAGTAATGTTTCCAGGAGTTCAAAACTGGTTTTATTTCCCAAATTTATAAAGCAAGATTTGAGAGCAGGAGCATTATGTTCAAAGCCCTTTATTATAATATTGACAGCAAGCCTGCCAAACCAGAAAAAGAAATCTAGATATAATTTGAATAGTTAAACCTTGTAACAAAGAGGGATATATGTGTTCACATGGCATGCGTGTGTATAATGTGAAACAGTGTGTGGCTACAACTATGTATATAGCTGCTTCAGAATAGAGACCCCTAGTGGACATGGGTTAGAGCTGGTTTCAGGATGAACCTATTGTTGACAGTCATTAAGCAGAAATCACAATAGTATGAAGGTGACTCTGAACAGAAAAACCAAACCCACTACCATAGAGTCAGATTTGACTCATAGCAACCCTTCCTTGGGTTTTCAAGGTGGTATTACTACAGAAGTAGATTGCCCAACCTTCCTTCCGAGGAGTGGCTGGTGAGTTTGAACCGCCAGCCTTCTGGTTAGCAGTCAAGTGCCTTAGTGTCCCCTAAAAAAACAAGAGGTTTTATATACAGACCAAAAAGAGAAAACAAACCAAAACCTGTTGCCATTGTCTATTCTGGCTCATAGTGACCCTATAGGACAGAGCAGAACAGCCCCATAGGGTTTCCAAGGCTAAAAATCTTATGAAAGCAGACTGCCTCACCATGCTCCCACAGAGCAGCTGGTGAGCTCAACTTCCACTCTTTCAGTTAGCAGCTAAGTATGTAACCACTGCCCCACTGTTGTTGTTGTTGTTATGTGCCGTCAAGTCAAACTCGACTCATAGTGACCCCTCCTTGGGTTTCCGAGGCAGTATCACTACGGAAATAGGATTGCCCAACCTTCCCTCCGAGGAGTGGCTGGTGGGTTTGAACCGCCAGCCGTCTGGTTAGCAGGCAAGTGTCTTAGCCACTATGCTACCAGAGGGCTCCTGAAAAGAAAACAGTTCTGAATAAATCAGCTGAGTAAGTTTTCTGGTAGATTATCTTTTTAGTTTATTCTGTTTCTCTCCATATCTCAAAGAAATTTGCTACAGAAGATAATTGCCAGTCTGAATTAGTCAAGCTGATGGCTAAATAGATTTTAGTTTTCAGAAGCTGAGCTGAGGCAGTGGGTTGTGATGGAAAGACTGGGCTGAACTTTTGGTCAGATAGGGCTGGCTTGGAAGCCCAGCCGATCAACAGACAAGTTGTGAGAGCTTGAGAAAGCTAATTAACCTTTTCTCATCTAAAGAGACATAGCAAGATTTGGACAGGAAGTCAGTAAAGTGCCTAACTCGTTGCTTTGTATGAGGAATTCTTATTATTAGATGGAACATTTTCTACTCGGCTCATCTTAAATAAATCCCACCCCTGCCCTTCCAAAGCTGCCCTGTCAACCTATATAGCTAGGAAGAGAAAGTAGGTTTCTGGCTTTGGGGAGCCATTTTGGAACCCAGAAGTAGAATATGGTATCCTAAGATCAGGGCCAATGAAACAGGTAAAGTGACCCAGCAGGATTGAAGTATAGTGTAGAGCTACTTAAAGAACAGGATCCTAAAGTGGATCTTAACAGTGAATGTTGTTGTCACTGTCAGCCATCAAGTCAATTCCAACTAATAGTGACCCTATAAGACAGAGTAGAACTTACCCATAGGGTTTCTAAGGCTGTAAATTTTTACCAGAGCAGACTGCCAGGTCTTTCTGCCACAGAACAGCTGGTAGGTTTGAAACACCAACCTTTCAGTTAGTAGCCAAGCATGTAACCACTGCACCACCAGGGCTCCTTTACAGTGGATCAGGGTACAACAATAGATCATCCAGTGTCTTCTCAATGGGGTTCATGATGCAAAGTTCCTCCATATATCCAACTTTCATCAACAGGCCTTGCACTGATGACAGTACAGAAGGCAAACAATTAGAAGTTGGAAGGCTGTGTTACAGGTCCTGGGGAGGACAAAAAACCCAAGTCTGTTGTGGGTTGCAGAGGATGCCACAGATCCCCATGCTATGGCTGCCGGGAGCAGAGCTCCAGAGATTTTTACAGCAGCTTGCCATTGCCTCCTGATCACCCAGGCCTGCCAAATATTCATGCCATTTCTCTCATGACAGGGTTTCTTCCTAGAAGCTGTTTCAGAGGTACCCCTCTCTTGGAGTTGAATCTAATTTCACTGCTACATCCCAGGTTGCAAGATATAAGTTCATCTTTTAACCAGGATAGGCAGAGCATTAAGATTACATTGTTTCCTGGATTCTTGTTGCTTGTAAGTTTGAGATTGATATTATAGGTAAGAAGTTCAAGAACTGAGTGTGACTTTAGCAAATGAAAAATAACACAGCCTAGAAGCTATCTTATTGGACTGAGAGAGGTTCTTGATAATCTCCATCAGGGACTAAAGGAAGCATGGAAACAACTGGTAAATCCTTGATGGTGTAACTAATGCCATGACTAGGATTAATAGGATTTCCTTGGTACAAAAGAAGAAGATGGCTGAATGCCAGGGAAAATCTTTCTGACAAAGGAATCCCCAAGGTAACCTGCAGGTCTTGAGACCTGTGAAATGGAACTTTCTAGTGCACCAGCTAACAGACAGTTCAACTCAGTCCAAGTGGAAAAGGCAGGTAACAAGGAGGCAAGCAGCTACCACATTTGCTTTGCCAGTACTGCCTTAAAAACATTCATTAGGCATATTAAGCAGCACCTTACTCTCAGAGTAATTAGAAGCTTTAATTTCCTTCTTGACATGTATAGCCACTAGATGGAGACTTAACTAAGGGTTTCTGTCAAATACATAACAAAATAGGCAGACATATGGCTAGCCCTGGGGTGTCTCAGTTGTAGTCACGTGATATTTCTAATGGGAAGGTTTATAGAATGTTACACTCTAAACAAGATGGGTTAATATATGAAGGCAGACAAGAACTAAGTGATTCTGGACAAGCGATGCTGACTGCCTCTGCCAGCACCTTCCTGGAGGCATCTAGCACCAAAACCTGCACTTCTGAGGGCAAAGAGCCCTCAGGGTCATGAGGCAAAATGTCGCAATTGACTGAAACACCTGTTCATGCATGTGATAGAACTTCCCCTTGTCTGCGAAGTTTCCATTGTCATTTGGTCTATTTCTCTTGTTAAATCTTTGAAGGCCCAAAAGCTACATTCACTAAGTCTGCCCTGATTTTATTACGGCTCCTGGCAAGTGAGCTGAAAGAAGGGCAGCTTTGTAGCTGGGGTGGTTTTTTGGGAGCTTTTGTTCTGGATACTTAGATGAGAGCAAAGGGAGGCAGTGGATTCCAAATCCCAAGGGCCTGTCGCATAACAAGATGAGTCACAGATGGGAGACTTTAAAAATCTCTTTTTACAGTGACCTCTTATGTTAGTAGGGATTGCAGGTATCTCTGATGCCAAGCAAGAAATATTGGCAAAATAACATACAGTAATATAAAAAAACAAACCAAACTCACTGCTGTCAAGTCGGACCCGACTCATAGCAACCCCTCCTTGGGTTTCCGAGGCGGTATCACTATGGAAGTAGATTGCCTAACCTTCCTTCCAAGAGTAGCTGGTGGTTTGAACCACCAGCCTTCTGGTTAGCAATCAGATAGATGCCTTAGGCACTACGCCACCAGAGCTCCTATACAATAATAGAGGTATAAATAAAGTTAATACCCCTTAGGGACCCTTTACATTTATTATCATATGTCCTCTTCCTTTTATGAGATAAATAGGACAGCACAGAAAGAGAAAATACATTTATCCACACTTATCCACTATATATATATTGTTGGTAAATTCGACGTCAGCTCGTAATTGTAGCTGATTGGGGATGTTGGGAAAATAGATAAGAGCTGATGAATTTCAGTCGGCCTGTGCAAGTGCAAGAGTTTCTGTGCTTTATATGGGGCTGTCTGGCAGGATGTGGGGGGTAGGAGCACAGAGAAGTCCGTAGCTATAATGAGCAAAAGGAGACTCCTGTGTTGCTCCGGCCCTACTTAAGACTTCCTCCAAGAGCCTGAGAAGGGGCCCAAGCTCTTGATTCCCTAGTTTCCAGTTCAAAATAGGAAACAAAGTATTTACCATCTTTTTTCCTTCCTAGAGCATTAAGAGAGTTAAAAAGGTAGTTTTTTCACATCATTCATACTCCAGGAAAGGATAATACTGCCCAATAATGAGGTGTTGGTTATTGGACACACTTTATTATATAGTCTGCATAAGAAGGAATGCAAATCAAAATCAACTATCTAGCATTCATCAAGCATCCATTAGGGTGCCATCAATTTTGGTATACTGAAATGTTTATGTGGTTTGCCTAACAGGTCTAAAAAAACATTGCTATGCTGTTTATGAAACTTAGATGGAGCTATCATCCATCTCTAGATGGATGTTTTATCCTAGATCTTATTGAGGCTTGGACCCCAAGAAGAAGAAAGAAAAATAATTTCTGTTGCTTGCTTACATCCTTACAGGTTGAATTGATTGACTTTCTACCTTTGCTGGACATTGCGTTGAGCATCATGCAAAGTAGTTTCCAGGCTCTCAAGGAATTTATCCTCAAAAATGTTCATCTGCATGATATCTATTGGCTTTCTGTTTTCAAACAGGTGTTGAAAGGAGACGCATCTATGACATTGTAAATGTGCTAGAGTCTCTGCAACTGGTCAGCCGGGTGGCCAAGAATCAGTACGGCTGGCACGGTCGGCACAGCCTGCCAAAAACCCTGAGGAACCTTCAGAGACTAGGAGAAGAGCAGAAATATGAGGAACAGATGGCATACCTTCAACAGAAAGAGCTAGACCTGATAGATTATAAATTTGGAGAACGGAAAAAAGATGGCTATCCAGATTCCCAAGACCAACAGCTATTGGATTTCTCTGAACCTGATTATTCCTCTTGTGAGTCCATTATAATCACATGAGTAATGGCAGACAGAGCGTATTGGTCTTTTCTCAAGAGGTTACTGCTCGCATGGAAAGTGTCAGATAGATAGCCCTGGAGGGAAGTGCCCTGTTACTGTTTCTCCTGGAGAAAGAGAGACAGAAGGCTCCCAAACTGGGTTGCGCAGTCCACCTCATTGAAAGCCTGTCTAGTGGCAGTTTACTTGATACTTGGTGTTTCTAGACCATAGATCACTAAGAGTACTGTAGTTTTAGATTGACAGCTCATGGTGTTTTCTTTTTGTGAGCCTTTAAGTAAAACTTACTTTGAAAGAAGTAATCTTTCAAAATTATCTACTTTTTACAGAAATTATATTTTGGAGTGGGTTATTTAGAAAAGAATCTTCTATCAAAAAATGTTGATTAGAGTGACAGTCCTGCTTTCATTTCATGCAGAAATTTGGACTTATACCTGCATTGCCCCTCGTCCCCAGCATCAGCTTATATTTCTAAGGGCTTCCTCTTCCTGTTTTACCATTTGATCATCATTCTTACGCTCCTCCTTATTGCTAAGATGATAAAGTGCAAGTATCATTGACATTTCATTCACAAATATTATAAACGGAAAGAGTGATGGACCTGCTTTTCATTAGATTCACTGCCTCATGCCTTTTCGTTCCACCCCATGAGCCAGTACTTATCCCAATAACCAGAGGAGACAGCCATCTGTCAGGGATAGTTTGCTTGCGATCCACATCTAATAACTGTCTCCTATTTACATATAATTTACTTACTCACCTACTTTGGAAGAGAATTAGAGGAGGTGAACACCTCTTTGTATAGGGTATATTCTAGATATTGTGGGTAAAAATGGAGTCATTGCCTTTGAGAGAAGAGTTGATGTTGTGAAAACCGTTCCTGATCCCTTCCCTATCCTTTTATTCTACTGCATTCGTCTTTTCAGAAAGTCATTTCAAGAAAGACTACATCATGGCTTCTGTTATATGAAGTATGAGTATAAAGCATTAACAGAAGTTTAAAATATGCATTTCTGAGTTTATGCCTACTACAGAGTCATTTTATGAGCTACAAGAAAATCAGTCTTATTTCCTTATGGGCCAACTCTGTGATCTGTGTCCAAATAGGTTTCTGCCTCTAACACGGATGGTCTTTCCATCTGCTGGTTTTGAAGCTAGGTAATTCCAGCAAACTGTAAGTATAGTCTTCATAGTGGTAAATTGTATGTTTTGATGTTTTTCTTTTATTCCCTTTGTAGCATCTGCAAATAGTAGAAAAGACAAATCTTTGAGAATTATGAGCCAGAAGTTTGTTATGCTGTTCCTCGTATCCAAAACCAAGATTGTTACTCTTGATGTAGCTGCCAAAATACTGATAGAAGAAAGCCAAGATACTCCAGATCATAGTAAATTTAAAAGTAAGAATCTTCACCTACATCCATTTATCAGAACCAAAAGGCTGGGATTTCATATGTTGATGTTTTCTACCTGAGACTATTTTTTTTTATTTTTGGTGAAATTGTCCTTCTTGCATTCATAAAGGATGTGTTGCTATTGTTGTTAGTCGCCATCAAATTAGCTGCAACTCATGGCAACCTTATATACAACAGGACAGAACGTTGCCTGATCCTGCATCATCCTCACAATCACTAGCATGTTAGAGTCCATCCTTGTGGCTGCTAAGCCAGTCCCTCTCACCAGGGGTCTTGTGGCCTCTACTTCACCGAACATGATATGCTCATCTAGCAATTGATCGCCCCGATGATGTCTCCAAAGTCAGATGTTCCCTTGTAATTCATAATGCTAACTGTTTTTTCATTTGCTGATTTTTTGGAAATAAATCATCAGGCCTTTCTTCCTATCCTGTCTTAGTCTGAAAGCTCCACTGAAACCTGTGCACTATGGGTAACCCTGCTGATACTTGAAATATTGGTGGCATAGCTTGTCAGATCAAAACAACACATACGCCAACACAGTATGACACACTGACAGGTGGTGGCTGGTGCTGAGAAGGCTAAGTTAATCATATACTGACTTCCCATGAAAGCATATGGGGAGATGCTTTTCCCTGGGTAGGTTCTGTGGATGGTGAGAACACCATCACCACAAACACCTGTCAGGAAGGATATGAGCTACTTTGCATTTCTCATTAGTATCACTGCATCCAAGAAGGAATGTCTGAGTTTTCTTTCCCCCTTTTTCCCTGTCCCCTGCATACTCTTCTGAAGGGTGGAGGTGAAAGTTGTCTACAGGTAAGAACAGGGTAGGGTAGGGAGGTGGGATATGGCCCCTGGACAAAGAAGGGACTTTCTGAGTACCACTCCCAGTACATCTGCCTTTTCTGTTAGCACAGATCCTGAGCCAGATGTAGCCAGTTGCTGGTAGCCTTTTCAAGGCCTGGGAAGCCATGAGCTCAACATTCTCTTTCTTTTTCTAACTGGAATTCCAGCTACCCTTTGGGGGAAATGACAAAAAAAAAATTTGGCCCTGCCAGGACTGGGAAGAAAGCTGCTTCTAGGGAGGCTGTTCCGTGTTTGTGAATGATGATCAGAGCTCCTTTGCTTTGTCTTAGTCCTGAAGTCAAGGAACTTTCCTACCTGAAAATTGATTTGTTAAAGAGAGAAGAATACATGGTCATAGTCGCTCTTTTCTGTAGTCCCCTTTTGCGTTTCCCTTCTAGTACCTGCATTTTCAAATGTCTTTCTTAAAGCCTCTTAAGATTCAGAGAATGCTTCTCACCCCTGCTTCCACAACCTCCCCCACCCCAGCCCCTGTTTTGCTAGAATGCCAGGATTTGGGGTGAGGAGCTGTCCGTGTTTTGCGGTTGCACACCATGTGACCTTGAGTCCTGGCCATCCTGTGTGCCTAGCCATGCAGCCTCTGCAGGAAGCTCTTGGGAATCCCTGTCATTTTCACAGGCTGGCTGATGCCATAGTCTCCTGCTGGGAGAAACCCAGGGCCAGCGTCTGACATGCCATGTATGAGAACTATGTTTACTAAGACTTTAATTACAGACCATTTTCATCCCTTGGTGTTTTTGCAATTCTAGCATGCCCTGCTTGTCACCAGGTACATTTTGTAAGAGCTATGAAATTGTGGAAATGGAAGGACACACTGACCTTCCTGTAGTATCTGTCTTCAGATACATCAAGTACATCGATCCTGTAAGATTTAATAGCAAAGCCATTAGTCTCCTCATCTCACCTCATTGCTTTCTGCTTGATGTCTATATGGTGGGCTAGAAAAGTTACCTGTCACATAAACTAAAATGCAGTGGTGTCAGGAATGGCATAACCATAACTGTGCTTTATATCTTCAAGCAAAGGTACGACGCCTCTATGACATAGCCAATGTTCTGACCAGCTTGGCTCTGATAAAGAAAGTGCACGTAACAGAAGAACGAGGCCGTAAACCAGCCTTCAAGTGGATTGGGCCTGTGGACTTCAGCACCAATGGTAAGATAGAATGCTTGTCCTAGGGACCTGTTTATTTATGATCTCAAATTCCTTTTTCAAGTTATACATATATTGCGTGGTGGTTTTTTTCTCCTTCATCTCCCACACTGTTAGTACTCATCAAGTCGACCCCCGACTCATGGTGATCCCATACACAGGGAGATGAGACCATTGTGATCCAGAGTGTTTTCGTTGCCTGACTTTTGGTAGTAGGTCACCAGGTCTTTCTTTCTAGTCTGTCTTAGTCTAGAAGCTCTGCTGAACCCTGTTTAGCATCACAGCAATATGCAGGCCTTTATTAACAGGTGGTAGCTGCTCATGAGACGCTGACCCAGGAATCAAACCTGTGTCTCCCACATGGAAGGGGAGAAGTCTGCTGCTGAACCACCTCTGCCCCCTCATTTCCTGCAGCAAACAGGAAACCAAACCCATTGCCATCAAAGTGATTCCATCTCAACGACCTTATAGGATAGAGTAGAACTGCCCCCTAAGGTTTCGAAGGCCGTAAATCATTACTGAAGCATACTGTCCCATCTTTCTCCCGTGGAGTGGCTGGTGGGTTCAAACCACTGATCTTTCAATTAACAGCCAAGTGTGTAACCACTGCACCGCCAGAGCGCCTCCACATTTCCCACTGAACCAAGTCTAATACACGATTGGACTTGTGACTTCATTCTTGGAACAATAAGCATTAACCTATCAACTGCATGCACTGGTTAACTCACACACAGTAAGGCCAGGAGGCAAGGAAAATACTGAGAGCTTCTCACTTGGGAAGGAGCTCTGGTGGCATAGTGCCTAAGGCATTTGACTGCTAAGTAGAAGGCTAGTGGTTCAAACCCACCAGCTACTCCATGGAAGGAAGAGTGAGCAATCTACTTCTATGAAGATTTACCAACTCAGAAATCCAAAGGAGGTTGCTGTAAGTCAGAATTGACTTGATGGCAGTGAATTTGGTTTTTGATTCTCACTTGGGAGTTTCTGTAATTATTAAATTTATGCTCTTTAGAAGTGTTTATTTTGCTCCAAAGCTTTTTGCTGGAAGTTTGGGACTGAAGATTGAAAATGACACTTCTTTTGAAACTCTGGTTGTTTCTACATTAATAGAATAAAATGTAGTTTTTCTCTTAAATTGCAGATAATGTACAAATTTTATCAATTATTATCACAAAACTATGTGGTAAAGTTGCTTCTGAATATAATGTGGAAGTCATGAACACCTTTTTTGTAACTTATTTAAAAGGTTACAAATGTCATAATTTTACTAAACTGGAGTAAGAGGGTATTATCTTCTACTTATTTCACAGGTAACATCTGGGCAATCAAGGACTAGATCCTACCACACCAGCTACTATACATATAGCTTGGCTGCATGAGAAAAAAAAAAGGCATTTATTTTTAAATTACACTTAGAATTTTGGTACTAGTGTTACAAATTTTTTTTCCCCTTAGCTTTTAAAAGACATAGCTCTCTCTCTTATCATACATTATTCACTTAAGGTCTATATGAAACCACTTAAAAGTTAAGTATAACTAATTCAACGCTGTGAGTACTTACGGAGCTTGGACTGTGCACCAATTACTGTACTATTCAAGGATGTGTTTGATGATCCCTGCTGGCATGAAATATACAACGTTAACCATTTCCTGCTTCTGTACCTTTGGCTTCTCCTTTTTACCTGTCAAGCCTCTCTTCTCCTAGGCTTCTTCACAGAAGAATATTCTACTCAACCTTCAAGACTTGGCTCAAATGTCAATTTCTCCATGAAGTTTTCCCTGATTTCCCAAAGAATGATTCATCTGAACTATTACAATTTAGTATTGTACTTGGTGGTGTTGATGTTATGGTCTGTTTGTGTGAAGCTGGAGACTTTCTTTATTCATCTTTGAGTACCCAGTTTAGTGCCTTATTTGTATTAGGTAGTTAATAAGCTTCTATTAAACGTAGAAAATTAGGACACATTTGAAAATTAGAGAGCAGGAAGTGCTAAACACGATAGGTAGTACTGGCTCTGTAGGAATTCAGAGAGACTATAGGTTGAGTTCTGGTGGACTTTTGGGTTTTAGAGGGAGAGAGTCTTAGTTGAAGGAACAGCATAAGTAACGAGCTACCCTGATTAAAATGGAAAGGATAGGATAGAAAGTATTGAGAAATAGGATTTGGTTTGTTAGGACCACATTTTGGAAGGCCTCAAAAACTAAGCCAAGAAATTTGGACTAGACATAACAGGTGTAAGAGAACAAAGACTTAGGTGATGGTATTATTGAAGAAAATAAGCTAGTTGGAAAGGTGAGCTGGTGTTTTGAGGCTGAAGAGTTCATGTATTTGCATGACCAGTGGGACAGCAACGGAGAGAGCTCTGTGATCTGTTGAGGGAAAGAGGACTTGGAGCCAGGCCAGTGTACCTCATAGTGGACCTCCTGCATCAGAATGTCCTAGGATGCTTGGTTATATTCAGGGACTTGGACCCCATCCTAGGCCAACTGAACCGGTCTCTTGGTGAAAACAAGATGGGAATCTGGATGTTTAAGAAGCTCCTGATATGATTTTATACACACTGAAATTTAATCTCTTGATTTGTTTACAAAAATAAATAGAAATTCTAAGGTGCATACCCTACTGTAAGGCCCCATGTAATTACCATTTCAAGTGTTCATCATTCCTTTTTGTAGGTCCAGGTTTCCATCTGGTATCATTTTCTTCTGCTTGATGAGCTTTCTTTAACATTTCTGCTAGCTCAGTTCTGCCAACACTGAATTCTTTCAGCTTTGTATATCTGAAAGCATCTTTATTTTACTGTTTTTGAAAGATATTATTGCTGGGCAAAGGATTCTATGTTGACAGGGTAGGTTCCCCGCCCTCAGTACTTTAAAGAAGTTAAAGGGGCTCTAGTAGAGCAGTAGTTACTAAGACATTCAGCTGCTACCCAGAAAGTTGGCAGTTTGAACCCCCCAGCCACTCTGCCAGAGAATGAGGAGGCAGTATGCTTCCATGAAGATTAACAGCCTTGTAAACCCTATGGGGCAGTTCCAACTCTGTCCTATATGTTTTCTATGAATCCAAATAGACTCAATGACAGTGGGTTTGGTTGTTCCATCATCTTCTACCTTGCATTGTGTCCTGCAATAAATCTGTAATCCTAGTCTGTTTGTAACATCTGGTTGCTTTTAAGATTTTCTCTTTATGGCTGGATTTAAGCATTTTAATTATGATGTACCTTGATGTAGTTCATGTTTCTTATACTTGGGTTTGTTGAGCTTCTTGTATCTATGGGTGTAACTTTTCATCAAATTAGGCTAATTTTTAGCCATCGTTTCTCAATTTTTTTTTTTTTTTTCTATCCTCTTCTCTCTTGTCCCTCCGGAAGCCCAGTGACTCGTATATTTAGCTGATAACTTTGTTCATTTTTCTGTCTTTTTTCTCTCTGTGATTCATTTTGCATAGCTTCTATTGCTATGCCTTCAAGTTTTGTTCTGCAGTTAGTATTTACTATTATTAGGATTTGTTGTTGTTGTTGTTATGTGCCGTCGAGTCAGCCCTGACTCATAGCGACCCCTCCTTGGGTTTCCGAGGCAGTATCACTACGGAAGTAGGATTGCCCAACCTTCCTTCCGAGGAGTGGCTGGTGGGTTTGAACCGCCAGCCTTCTGGTTAGCAGTCAAGTGCCTTAGCCACTATGCTACCAGAGCTCCCATTATTAGGATTTAGTGTTAGTATTTAGTATAGGTATGTGTAGCTTAACATCTGTGGTGTATTCTGTGATATAGGATGTTACATGATTTGAATGTTGTGCAGACACCATATTATGATATACACGCAGTCCCCATATAATCCATAGTTAAATCCCTGTAAAGCCTATTATATTAAAACTTTATGGGAGCCCGCTAGACAAAGCCCAAGAGTTGTGTGACTAGGCCAGGTAGAGACTGCACTGGCAGCCAGATTGGGACTTTGTGCAAATCTGGGTGCAGAGAAGGGGGTGGTGGAGAGATAGCTATGGGGACCAAGTGTACATGTACCAAGAGCTCAGCTGGTGGTGGCAGCCGCTTCCTGATCATGTGCATCTGCCACTACTGCCTGGAGTTAGAAGCCTGCAAGCACCCCAGGCCTGGCTGATGCCACCAGCACCCATGGCATGAGCAGAGGAGCCACAGCAGGCACTGCCCTGCATCAGGAGTGAAAGGTTACATGGCTTCTGGGCTGGTGAGTGAATCTAGGAGAAGGAAGTGGCTACAGGGCTTAAGATGCACCCTGGAGCCCGCTGCTCATTCATGCAGGGGTTTGGGTTGTATTTTCCCACTTCTTTGTGTACCCCATAATTTTTAATTGAATGCCAGACATTAAGAATTGTACATCATCCCAAAAAACCAAACTCACTGCTATCAAGTTAATTCCAACTCACAGTGACCTTATGGGACAGAATAGAACTGCCCCATAGGGTTTCCAAGCCTGTAAATCGACAGAAACAGACTGCTTCATCTTTCTCCTGCAGAAGCTGGTGGGCTTGAACCACTGACCTTTTGGTTACCAATTCAGTGTTAACCACAGTCCCACCAGAGCTCCTTAAACATTGTTAGGGGATATTTTGTATTCCTAACAACATTCTTGAGCTTTGTTCTCTGAAGCATTGAAGTTAATTGGAAATGGTGATACTTTCAGGTTTTCCTTTTACGCTTTGGTAGACAGGATACTATTAGCATTTAGCGTAGGGCACATTTTCCCCACTACTGAGGCAATACACTTTTTAGTACTATAAGTAATGCCTACTGAATTATGAATTTTATCCACACTGCCTGTTGGGAGCAGGCACTATTCCTAGCCCTGTATGATTATGGACATGGTTTCCTCTAATCCTTTTGAGTGATCCTCTCCCAGGTCTGTTGGTTTCCTCACGTGTCAACACTCTTAACAAGTACTCAAGAGAACCCTCTGAAGACCTTCAGCATTCTCTTTTTGCATGGCTCTCTCCTTGCCAGCGTTCTGCTCTGTGAACTCTAGCTATCTTCACTTTCCTGGACTCCCAGCTGCATCTCACCTTAGAGAGACTGCTGGGATTTACCTAGGTCTCTCCCCACACACACAGCCCAACCTCGAAACTTTCTCCTGGCAGGAGCTGGGGCAATCATAGAGCTTCCTCATTTGGTTTCTGTCTCAGGGACCACTGACCTTCATTGCTCGTGTCTGACATCTTGAGAGCTATTGCTTTGTATATTTTGTCCAGTTATCTGTTTGTTTCAGAAAGGAGGGTAAATGTGATCCCTGGTACTGTCTTGATCTATCTTCTTTTCAAATCTGTTATTTCTGATTTTCTAAAAGTAACATTTATTAGGCTTCTGTTGCAAGTAAAGAAAATTATAGAGGTGATTTTTTAATTTTTAAAGTTATATTAGCGTGAAAGTGTCTAGAAAATGTTTGTCTAAGTGGGTCTTTCAGTTCATTAAATCAGTCTTACGATTTAAAATGTACATGCTTTGAGCTTATTAAAAAAGAAAAATAGCACAAATGGACAGGGTAGCAATCCCAGTCTGGGCACCAGGGTCAGATGCCTCACTCTATTAGAGAAAGTTCTGTTTTGACTTCACACAGACTCCTTTAAGCACAATATGTCCCGCTAAGCCCAACCTTCTAATAGCCTCACTATTCTGCAGCATTTCAACCACAAGGTTTCTGCTTACCTTATTCCTTTAGTCACTTAGTAGCTTAGCCTCCTATGGCATTAAAGAGAAATAAGAAAATGTAATAAAAGATGTGGAGATTCGTATATTCATTTTCCTAGATCTGTGACATAAGAGGCCGATCTCCATTATTCTTGAAAGTGTATCTCAAAATAAGCATATAGGGTTGGGCATGGCTGGATTTTCCTTTGATATTCTCAGCCCAGACAGCATCTAAAATGTCAGGTCCATTCTAATTTGGGTTGAAGAATATCTTGGTCTACTTTTGTTGTAGAGCAGATAATTTTAGTTTATAGTCATTTGCTAAGTATAAAAAAAATAGTGCATCAAAAGAAATTGGGGTTTGAGGAAAGGCTCAGCATATTTCTTAGTTTTTGATTTATAGGGTGGCCCCATTACAATTAGCAATCTAAAAACCATATCTTCTTAGAATACATATCCTGAATTACAGCTGTATAACACTACCACCAATTCTCTTGTTTATGTAGATGAAGAACTAGTGGATGTTTCTGCATCTGTCTTACCAGAATTGAAAAGAGAAACATATGGCCAGATTCAAGTTTGTGCAAAACAGAGGCTGGCTCGACATAGTTCCTTTAATACAATTCAGGCTTCTGACAGGATCAAGAGGGAAGTGAACTCAGAACCTAGCAGTCCTTACAGAGAAGAACAAGGTATTTGACCTTACTTAACCCATGGGATCTGTCTGTCACAATGTAATGTAGCCCTACCCATGTGCTGACATTTTAAAATGAGCTGACTCTCCAGGCCCTGTCTACTGTTTCTGGAGTCTACTTTTCACTTGCCTGAAGTGAAATGATTGTTAGGGACAGAGGAAATGCTGAGTTCACAGTGTATGAACATGGCCCCATGGCCAAGACTGATCCTGGTCAGCCTTGAGATCACTTGGTCCACCATGGTTGACCTCTTTGATGAGCCTCTGAAATTCATCACACTTAAAAAGCAATACTTGTTTTCTTTGTGCTTGTGTGTGCGTGTGTGTGTACATGTGTGTACACATGCGTGCACATGTGCTTACTAATTCTGGATGAGACCGGAATTCACCATGAACAGCTAGCTTCTCAACATTTGTCTTGGAATCAAAACCAGAGCAGGATTTGAAATAGTCTTATAATCCCTGAGCTATGAATAGTGAATTCTGCCGTATAGAATGGGTGTATATCAGCCTCTTGCTGTATTTGCTCAACCTCCATTTTCCCTTTCAGGATCAGGTGGCTACTCCTTAGAAATTGGAAGTCTGGCAGCTGTCTACAGACAGCAAATAGAAGAAAATTCACAGTAAGTAGTCTTTAAAACTCAGAGTGTATTCTTTTTGATTTCCTAGTGGTGGCATAGTGCCTAAGGCATGTGACTGCTAACCTGAAGGCTGATGGTTCAAACCCACCAGCCACTCCTCAGAAGGAAGGTTGGGCAATCTCCTTCTGTAGTGATACCGCCTGGGAAATCCAAGGAGGGTCGCTATGAGTGAGATCTGACTCAGCAACAATGAGTTTGGGTTTTTTTTTTTTTTTGAGTACTCACTTTAACTAAATGGAAATGCCACTCAGCAAAACAGAAAGTTTAACAGTCTTGCTAATACATGAGTCATTTGTTTACTAAGATTTTTATAAGTTTCCCCTTTGTGCCCAATTTGGTGCATAAATAGCCTCAGAGACAAAAATGTATGAAAAATTTATATCCTAAGTTATGACAGCTTATAGGGAAAAATGCACAAAGATAAATACACTGAAAAAAGGCTGTTTGTGACTAATGTGGCACTGAGAAATGATGTGAGATGGTCTCATGAATCACTTCATCATCGTGTCTAATTTGCTTACTAAATGCCAGGCCAAGCACTGTTCCAAGAGTTTTTATGTGTATTAAGTCGTCTAATTATAACAACAATCATTTGAGATTGGTGCTATTATCCTCATTTTACAGAGAGGAGACTGAAAGCCAGAGAGCTTATAGAATTTACCCAAAGTCATACTGCCAGTAAATAACAGAGCTGGATTCAAATGCAGGCCATCTGACTAAGAACATGGGCTTTGTCCGCACATGGACCTGGTGGGAGGCCCAGCTTCACCACATTACAGCTAGTTGGCCTTAACGGAGGTTACCTAACCTCTGTTCTTTGGTTTTCCTCACTAGTAAACTGGGGAGAAATGAGAGAAGCTATTATTGTAATGCTTATACTCATTGCTGTTGAGTCAATTCCAACTCACAGTGACCCTAGAGGACAGAGTAGAACTGTCCATAGGGTTTCTTTCTAAGGCTATAATCTTTATGGAAGTAGATTGCCACATCTTTCTCCTGTGGAGGGGCTGTGAGTTTCAATCTCCAGCCTTTCACTTAGCAGGTGAGTGCTTAACCAGTACACCACCCATATAAAATTGTTACAATAGTATGCTAATAACAGAGATAGATGCATCGATACCATAGAGGTGGCTCCAACTCATGGTGACCTGCATGACGGAACAAGCTTTGTCCAGTCCTGCATCATTTTCACAGTCCCGCATCATTTTCACAGTCCCTAGCATCTTCAAGTCCATCGTTACTGTTGTGTTGTGTCAGTTTGTCTCACCAATGGTGTCCCCCATCCTTGCTGGCCTTCTATTTCACCAAACATGATCCCTCTCCAGCAACTGAGCGCTCCTGATGACATGTCCAAAGCAGGCAAGGTGGACAGTGTTTTGTTGTGATCCATAAGATTTTCAATGACTGAATTTCAGCAGTAAATCAGCAGGCCCCTCTTTCTAGTCTGTCTTAGTCTGGAAGTGTCACTGAAACCTGTCCCCATGAGGGACTTGCTTGTACTTGAAGTACTACTGGCATAGCTTCCAGCATCATAGCAGGACACAGCCACCACAGTACCACAGCCTGACAGATGGGTGGGAGTTAGTAGCAATGATAGTATCTAAATGACCAACAATCCAGACCAAACTCACTGCCATCAAGATGATTCTGACTCATAGCGAACCCTCCTTGGGTTTCCGAAGTGGTATCTCTACGGAAGTAGACTGCCCAGTCTTCCTTCTGAGGAGTGGTTGGTGGGTTTGAACGGCAGCCTTTTGGTTAGCAGTCAGATGCCTTAGGCCACCAATTGCTAACTAGCTAGTATTAGCTCCAGCCTGAGATTCCTCCAAAGGCTCTTCCAGCGCCAGCCCTAAGAGTCCATCAAAGGTATATATGGCTGTGTGCCTCTGAGGTTAGCTAATATTTACTCAGAAAGTGCCTTTTAAGATTAGCATGAGGACATTATCTCACTCTGGTTTCCTGTGGTTCTCTTTAGAAAAGCAGAAAGTCAAGAGTTGGTAGAATGTGGTAACTTGGTGGTACTCCGTACTTTTCTTCATATTACAGGAGCAAATCGTTTACCAGTAAGAGAGTAGTACCTCCATCAAGCAGCCTGGATCATTTTCCTTTTCCTCCTTTCCCCATCCTTCCTGTTGACTCAGAATATTCTGCTAGTCCTTTAGCCCAACAAGTATTTTCGATTCCTCAAATGGACCGGCAGGCATTCTCCACGCAGAATGGTCTACGTGGACAAGTAGGCATCTCACTCACTCCTGCAGCCTCTGACGTAGAGAACCTGAAACCAGCTGTGCTTGCCGGTCAGCCCTTGGTGTATGTTCCCTCCACCTCACTATTCATGCTATATGGGGGCCTTCAGGAGGGTGTGCCCCCTGCGTCAGGCTCAGAGAGGGATGGCGGAAGCACGGAAGTCTCAGCAGCAGCAGAGCTATCACCTGTGTCCTCCGCTCAGAAGCGTGTCAGTGAGGAGAGGAAGCCTCAAGAGGAGGAACCAGCCAATAAAAGACAAAGTATGGAATATGAAGATGGCCCCCTATCCCTTGTCATTCCCAAGGTAAGGGAGTGCAGGTACACATGTCTGGTGACCTCATATTAACAACTTCCTAATGAAGACACACAGATGTAATAAGCTACCCAGTCTGCAATACGGGAATAGTCACGTGTCAGTTGTATTGTTAAGTACTGGACGAGTTGTCCAAAAATAACTGTTAATACTATAACAAAGGTAAACAATTTTTAGAAAAGTCATGCTTTATATAAAATGCTGAAAAGCATAAGGAAGAAAAAAACTTACCTATGATCCCACCACACAGATGCAGTCACTGTTAGTTTGACTGTGTATTTCTAAAGCTTTTTCTTGCACAAGCTGGGATCTCTGAAATAATCATCTTCATCCAGAATGCAGCCAAACGCAGTTCCAAAGTCAGGAATTTGGGTGCTCTTTAGCTTTCATTGCCCTTGCTTGGTCAGTTCTTGTCACAGCTCAGTGACCCCGTTTCCTTAGCTACAAAATGAGCAGAACAAAAGCATGAGCCATCCATATCTCCTGCTTAGTAGCCCTTCAGAAGTTAATGAGATATGACCAGTAAAACTTCAGAAAGCAGAGGCACTGTCATTACAGCAGTGTGTGTGGTGGTTTAGCTAGGCTCACTTCATAGAAATGTTTCTGTTCTGGCTACCTAGTTCTGCTCTGACAGGAGTATACCACAGATGGGATGGCCTTAAAACAGAAGTTTATTCTTAAAATTTAGAGGCTTTAAGTCCAAGTTCAAAGTGCCAGGCTCTAGGGGCTGGGTAGAAACCCCATGACCTTGGGCTTCAGTCTCTTGCTCCCAGCCCACTAGAGCTAGAGGCATCTCTTCACTCAGGCATCTACTGGCTGCTGAGGCTAACAAGCCCAAGGTCGACAAATAAAATGGCATAGTCCTGATGTTACCAAACCACATGGTGGGCCATTAACTTAAGTCTGTTGTAAGTCTAAAGGTCGGCAAAGCAAGGCAGGCTGCTGAACAATAAGACAGCTACATGCAGGGTCCAAGCATGCCATATACTAGAGACTATCCCCAAGACTTCTCCTTATACAGGAAGCAGACCACATCCCAAAGGCAGCTACTCAGCTGCTTGTGGTAGATCCCACCATGGAGTTGATTGCCAGTCTCATCATGGGGAATAAATACCACCAGCTGCCCAGCCACTCAACCAGGCCCAGCCAAGTTGATATACAAATTTAACTACCACAGCTTCCATTACAAACGTTCTCTACTTTCTTTTGCCAGAATGAATTTTTCTCATTTTGTATATAGCCTTCTGTTGCAGAACAGAAGTGAAAGACGGACTGGTATATATCTTAGACAACCAACCCAGCTTTGGGTCAGCCCTGCAGGTCTATGTTACATGCAGTCAAGTCAATTCCAAGTCATAACAACATTATAAGGACAGAGTAGAAATGCCCTACAATCTTTAGGAAGCAAATCACTAGGTCTTTTCTCCCATGGAATGGCTCATGATTTTGAACCACTGACCTTTCCATACGCAACCGAGTGCTTTAACCACTGTGCCTCTTAACTATGTCGTTGTTGTTGTTAGGTGCCATTGAGTCAGCTCTGACGCATCGCAAGCCTGTATACAGCAAGAACAAACATTGCCTGTTCGTGTGCCTTCCTCATAGTCTTTGCTATACTTGAGTCCATTGTTGCAGCCATTGTGTCAGTCCATCTCCTTGAGGGTCTTCCCCTTTTTTACTGATCCTTCACTTTACCAAGCATTATATCCTTCTCCAGGAAATAGTCACTTCTGACAGCATGACCAAAGTAAGTGACATGAAGTCTGGCCATTTTCGCTTCCAAGGAGCCTTCCAGCTGCACTTCTTCCAGCACAGATCTGTTCATTTTTCTGGCAGTCCATGGTATTTTCAGTATTCTTTGCCAATACCATAATTCAAAAGCATCAACTCTTCTTTAGTCTTCCTTATTCACTGTTCAGCTTTCACATGCATAAGAGACAATTGAAAATACCATGGCTTGGGTTAGGAGCACCTTAGTCTTCAAAGAGATATCTTTGCTCTTCATCACTTTAAAGAGGTCTTTTGTAGCAGATTTTCCCAGTGCAATATGTTGTCTGATTTCTTGACTGCTGCTTCCATAGGTGTTATTGCAGATCCAAGTAAAATGAAATATTTGACAAGACGGTGGAAGCAACACCCTTTATGAATTTTCAGTTCAAAAATTTATTTCACAATCTTCCTACATATACAAAATGACTACAACAGTCAAATGTTTATAAACCAAAATCTATTAGTGATTATGAAAGGTGGCAAGGAGAGAAAAAGAGGGAATCATTGCCTAAGGGACACTGAGCTTCTGTTAAAGGTGATGGAAAAATTTGGAAACAGTGATAATAGTTACATAACATGATGAACCTAATCAATGTCACTGAACTGTCCATGTAAAGATTGTTTTTATACATATATATAAACAAATACACACCACACACACACACACAGGAAAGACCCTCAATGAGATGGATCAACAGTGGCTACAACAGTGGGCTCAAGCGTAGCGAGGATTGTGAGGACGGGGCAGGACCAGGCAGGTTTCTCGTTTTGTTGTACATGGGGTTGCTGAGTCAGAGCCAGTTTGATGGCACATAACAACAGATACATAGCACAATTTTTAAAATGTGTTTCACAGTCTAAACACCATGGCCAGTTTTCCATTATTAAAACCTTCATCATTTTATACTTCAGAATCCCAAGCCTACAGATTCCCACGACTTGACATTCATTTTCAGACTATGTCTATAAATATTATTGAAACCACTGACACATACACTTTCATGTAGCACCCATTGTGCTTTAACTTTTTGTTTATGGTTTAGCTATTTTGAGAAAGTTGTAACTGAGATTTACTGCCTGAGTTTTCACTTCGTTTTCTGGTTCTGATTTGGTTGTGCTTTATAGAAACCTTCAGATGTCACAAAACTCGCCTCTCCTAAGACTGTCAGTAATACGGAATCTATGCCCCTTGAAGACAGCCACGTGAATGGCCAACTCACTGCTGCAGAGGAGGGTTCAGGAAAGGCTATGGCAAACTGCTTCATCTCTCCCGGGTGGGGAGACCCTTCAAGAAGGACAAAGACTGAAAAGCCTTCAAAAGAAAATGGAAGTACCAAAGAGTCCCCTTTGCTGCAGTATCTTTATGTGCAGTCTCCAGCTGGTAAGGGACATCATCTTGTCCCAGAGCCTGGGTGGTAGTTGGATCCTACATTGGATTTTTAAATTTTCATTTGTCACCTGACCTAAGCAGCTCACTGATAAGTGGCTGCTGAGGGACTCTGAGTCATTTTTCTCATAGCCCTTCCCCCTTGTTTTCACTATTTATAAAATAAAAGTAGAGGCTGCTCCTACTGTCACCACTATCAGGCATAACTGGGACATAATTAGACAGATTTATTTATTTATTTATTTATTTATGTGTTAAACTTTCATGGTTTATATGGTAATAAAACACAACAAATTCAAATGACTGTTTTTGGAACTCAGCTGAATCTGACATTTGTTCATGATAACAATATCAACCTACTGGTTATTATGGACAGTGAACATTCTATCTCTCAAATGAAGTTCTCAGTCTGTCATTGTGGTGGAGTACCAGCTCTGGAGTAAATGGCCTTGAGGTTTCAAATCCCTTCCTATCTGCATGAACTTAAGTTGTTCAGCCATCCTTATTGGTAAAAGTGAGGCTAACAACAGTACCTGCTTCATAGAGTTGTTTTGGAAATTAAATTAGTGAATAAGATAATACATCTTAAGTACTTAGAATAGTGCCTAGAACTCTGTAGATACAAAGTAAATTTTAGCTTTTACTGTTTTGAATTAAAACTGAAATACAATAGACACCTAATTTTCAAGATATGCAAAGTATATATGAAGCTTCTTTTGATGCCAGTATACATACTGATTTTCCTCAATTTCTCATTGCCTGAAGTGTCTTTGCCAGACCAGGCTAGGTTTTTTTATTATTCATTTACCCAGAAAACATTCTTTATCCCTTTAGCAAATATTTTTGCCTATTTATTCTAAGCATGATGCTCAATGTTGGGGATACACTAATGAAGAAAAGCAGATTCCCCTCTGCCAAATGACAGTTACAGCCCAGCCCAAGGATTTTTAACTCTTTCTGTGCCATGCTCCCATAAGCCATGGGCGAATCCCTTGATTTTCTCTTCAGAATGTTAACAATGCAAGAAGTAAATACGTAAGATTACAGAGTAATAAACCATATTAAAATAGAGTTATAACATGATTTTTAAAATTCTTTATAGTAATAAAATGGTCTGGCAGCAGATCTAATACTGTTGTTTCTAAAGTGTAATGAACTTAAACAGAATATTAAGAATCTGCAGTAGCTATAATGTAATGTAAGCATATTGGGGCTTTTTACTAGTTACAAAGTTAGGTACTGTTGTGATTTGTTGCATATTATTGGGGGAAATACAAAATTTCAGTTAGAAGTAAGTAAAAATAAAGATACTATTTTTCCCATCCATACTCACTTTGCTCCTCAATTTCAGTTCAGTGAAACTCACATTAAGAACTCTTGGCACTCTCAAACAGATCCATGTAAACCAGTGTTTACTGTAGCATTAGTCATAATAAGCAAAAGGTGGAAACCATGCAAGTGTCCATCAATGGATGAATGGATAAATAAAATGTAGTATAGCTGTACAATGGAATATTAGCCATCGAGAGAAACCCTAATGCATGCCACAACATGGTGAACCTCAAGATCATTATGCTAAGTGAAATTAGACACAGACAGATACTGTACAGTTGCACATAAATATCCAGAATAGGCAGATGCACAGAGACCAAAGTTTATTAGTGATTGCCAAGGGCAGGTGAAAGGGGGAGATGGGAAGGTGTTGCTTAAGGGTACTGAGTTTCTGTTAAGGGTGATGACATTTGGAAACAGCCTGTAGTGATGGTTGCACAGTATGGTGACCATAATTAATGTCATTGAATTATAGACATAAAAATGGTTGAAGTGGCAAATTTTGCTGTATGTGTTTCACCATAATAAAAATTAGAAGAAAAAAACAAAATACCTTTCATAGGCGATACGGGCATCAACCAAATTATGACACAGATGAATTTGAAATTATCACTGTGACCAATGCTGTGAAGGAGGGGTAAGGGGCTAAGAGGGCACACCCAGGGGGATTGGACATAGTCCGGCCTATGGAGGTTTCATCATTTGTCTCATCATTTGTTATTTATAGTGGACTCCCATTTGAAAGTGCTGGGAGGGATGTGCGCTGAATTGGCTAACATGGTATCTTCCTATTGTGATTTTTGCCTCATTCTGCTTCTATTTCAGGATTGAATGGTTTCAATGTGCTTTTACCTGGCAATCAGACCCCTCATGCTGTGGGGCCATCTTCAGGCCAAATGCCATCCCTCAGTGTTCCTTGTATGGTCTTACCATCTCCGACCCTGGGCCCTTTTCCAGTCCTATATTCTCCTACATTGCCGGGGCTGGGTTCTTCTACTTCTGGCACACTTCCAAACATAGGACCTGTGAATTTTGGCTTGCCTGGCTTTGGATCAACAGCTCATCTTCTCATTGGCCCTGCAACCATGGTTCATCCAAAGTCATCAACACTCTGTTCTGCAGACCCTCCACTTCAGAGTCAGCCCTCACTGAACCCAAGTCCAGAGGTGTCACAGTCCTGCAGTGCCGTCCAGCCCAAATCACCTGTTTATGTGGGTCATCCAGCCCCAGCAGTGAAGTTACAACAGGTGGGTCCTGAAGGTTCATTGCAATGTGGCATAAGGTGGCTACATTACCCTCTGATGGGCTACACCTGCATTTTAATGAGTTTTAATTTTAGGACAGAGGCTCTAGGTCAGCCTTCCCTAATTTCCATTATAGACCCAGAGTGGCCTGCTTATTTTATAAAGCACTGAGTCATAAGGTAGGACATCCTATGCTTTAAATAAAATTTTGTAAAACGTCATTCTCTTTCTTAGAATTTGAGGGGACTGGTTTTAGGCATTATTCAGGTAGATTTTTGATAGATGCTGAATATTCAGAACAGTTTCTCCATCTTTAATCAGTACTGTATTTCCTCCCCCAAAACTCCATTTATATTTCAGTCAATAAGTAGTTGTTGAATTTCTGTTATGAATCAGGTATTGTTCAGAGGGATTACTTTCTCTCAAAGAGAAAAAGAATTATGTGGTAGCCAAAAATATTTCAAACAAGTTACTCAGAGGCTTCAAATTTTGCTAAACATTGAAATAAACTTGTTAGTTTTTAGACAAGAGAATTATAGTAACATTAACTTTTTGATCACCAGTTATGTGCCAGGCATCGATGTAGGCAGTAGGGATGTAACAGTAACCAGAAGTCCCTGGCGTTTTAGGGCACATTAAGAGGATAAATATTATCGAATAAATAAAAAGAGCTGACATAGCATGATTTGCTTTGAATGCTCTAAAATGCTTTACAAATATCATCTTGCTTAATTCTTAAAATGCTGTGAGGTTGATGCTTTTATCATCCCCATTTCACAAGTGAAGAAACTGAGGAACAGATTGGTTGAGTAAATGTACCTAAGGTACTAGTCATGGCAGAGCCCAGACTGGGTTCCAGAAGCAACATTCATAACCTCTGTGCTGGCTGCCTTCTGCAGACAAAATAAATAAAACAATTTCCATTGGTAAAAGTGTATAAAGGAGATGAATGAGTTTGATAGGAAAGAGATGGGAATACCTACATAAGTATCAGGACGGCACTAGTTGAGAAATAGCTTTCAGTTCAGCTTGAGAACAATGTGACTTTGCTTCTGCTTTTCTAATTTTTCTGATTTTACTCTCTCTTAGTCACCAGCCCCAATGACTCCAAAGAGCATTCGACGGACACATCGTGAAACATTTTTCAAGACACCTGGCAGCCTTGGAGACCCTATTACTAGGAGAAAAGAAAGGAATCAGTCTCGAAACACCAGCTCAGCCCAGAGAAGACTAGAAATTCCCAGCTGTGGAGCTGACTAACCTATCACTTTTCTGTGTGGGGTGGGGTCAAACTACCAATGCAGATGATGTTCGAACACTGGATGGAAAGCAACTGCAGACTAGGCGGTAGTCATCGTGCACCTCCTTCCTCATTTTCCATCCACTCGTTCTGTTAACTCTTCCTCATCAAAATACAAATTCTTATTTTCCAGAAAGTAATTGTTATTAATAGTGCATTTAATACCAGTCCGAGTTCAGACTCTCTGCATGGTGTCACAGTAAAAGCATTGACTGACTTTTGTGGTTTGGATTCCAGAAGCATCTTATTGTTGTAAGTAGATCTGAAAACAGTCTACTGGAGCCTTGTGGTTTTTCTAAAGAGGGGGCTGTCTAGCACTTAACTAGGGTAAGCATTCTTGACATGTATTCCACTTGCCCTGAGTAAATCTGTGGTGAAAAAAACTTCTTTTCTACATTTCTAAAAAGCTACTGCTTCCTCAGGCTTCACCAGTGATGCCAGTCTGATGTTATTATTTATTTTCTTCCTGAAATGGGATTTAGTGCAAAGTTTATAACTACAGCAAAACAGAATTCTTTTCAGGGTGTGACGACTTGAATGTTTATACTTTTTTTTCCTGAAATTTGCCCTGCACTTATTCTACATCCTAATAATAATGTGGATAATTGTATATACGTGGCAAAATATCAAGACCAAAATAACTGTGAAGAATGACACACTTTACTATAAATGAACTGTGCTAACCCTGTCTGTGGATTTGAGAACTAAGATGAACTCTAAGCAGCCCGATTACTGCTTCTCAAGTAACTATGTGAACAATGAAGTTTTCCTCTTTGTAGATGAAAATCCTTCTATGTTCAGTCTCCTTCACTACATGCCCCTGTGTTTTTTTTAATTATAATGTTAACTTTTAGAGTAGTCAGTTATGGATGTCTTCTAACAATTCCTGTTTATAGAATGAGTCAGGATGGTATTAAAGTAATTATAAGGAAAACTGGGATCTGGATAGGACCTTTTGGTAGAATTCTAAAGAAGAGTAACGATGTAGGAGTTGATAGTGATAATTTGATTTTTGTTTTGTTTTTTTCTTCACATTTGGAAGGATAAGAGGGAAAAATGGATAACTTACATTCAGTATCCAAGAGTATTCAAGCCAGTTATATGGTACTTCTGAAAAATAAGAATGATGAGTACAGGGGTTTAGTGTTCTAGCACAAATACGGTTCTGGAAGCTATTATGCAATATCCCATGTTAAACCCCCTTGCTTTAGGGTTTCATTAAGTAGCCAAACTAGCTTTTGCATTCCTAGATTTATTGATACTTACCTCACTCTGTCTTCAGAGTAAGTGGCTTGCTTTCTTCCTTCCTTCTGTCCTTCCTTTTTTTCCATCCTTTCTTCCTTCCCTTTCATTACTTCCTCCATCCCTCCCTTTTTAACCTTCCTTCTTTTTTAAAATTTCCTTCCTAGATTTAGAATCTTGGTGTAGGATTTTATTTTTATTTTTGGACCCAAAAAATATTATATAAAAGAATAAAAATATTAATTTAAGAAACTCGTGGAGTCTAAGCAAAGTAGCTTTATATTACCTGCAGAATAATTGTAACCCCTACAAGATTTTTGAAAAATTTAGGTAGTAGCCTGATTAAATAAGTTTGCTACTTAGATAAAAACTTTTTATCAACACTACACTTTTAATAGGAGCTCTGGTAGCATAGTGCATAAGGCACTTGACTGCTACCCAGAAGGCTGGCAGTTCAAACCCAACCAGCCACTCCACGGAAGAAAGGTTGGGCAATCTACTTCCATAGTGATACTGTCTTGGAAACCCAAGGAGGGTTCGCTATGAGTAAGATCTGACTCAATGGCACATAACAACATTTTTAATGTTTGTAAAATGGTATTCCCCCCACACACACACTTTTTTACAATATTCTCTGGATTTAAATAGATTAAAATACAGTTTTAATCATCAATAATAACATAGTAAAGATTAGCCTGAAATGATACTGATGAGTTCCTCAGCAAAACAAAGAAAACTGTTTGGTTTTTTTTTTTTTTTCAGGTAGATTACATGGTAATAAGCATATAAATCTGCACAAGGTACATGGATTTTCAATACAATATCCTCCACAAAACATTTTCACTTAGAGGTCTCCATTTTAGATGAAAACATGGATTTTTCTCTTCCTACAACTGGGTGCTCTCCACTTACATTTTTCAATTCTTTACTATCAGTTTTTTTTTTCCAAGTCTGTTCATGATATGGCCACATTTATCTCAGAGAATCCATGGTTCTTGAGGGGTATTAAGAAGCAATCCCATAAAATGAGATTATGACTTTGACCAAATAGCCATACTTAGCAAGAACAAATTTTACTTTTGTATTCAGTACCCACTTCTTAATGTGGCTTTGTGATATGTAAATAATAGTAGTAGCAATAATGATGCAGCTGTTACTGTCAGGAAAGTGAATCTGTTCTTGCAGAGCAACTGATGGTAGTGAAACTGCTGAGCTAGAACTGAGTATTTTGGGTAGTGAAGATGCAATGGCAATCCTGAATCATTGTGAAAGAATTTAATTTAGTGGAAGAAAATAATTGTTGGTGATACTGCTAAGGAAATGCAGCTTTGAGTTGACACTGAGGAAGAGGTGTGCCCTACACTGTCCAGGGTTTGTGAAACCCTTACATTCTGGTACAAGAGTCGGGGGTATAATTTTATACTTGAATCTACCTGCCAAGTTTACATTTCTCAATTCCTTTTTGTAAGGTGCTATTTCTGTATTTAAATAATGTAAAGCTGCTTTCTGCTTATCTTATTGCACTGCTAGTTTTATGTAGGTATTAATTTTATTGCTGCTTACTGCTTTTGTTTTCATATTATTTCACTCTGGTTCTCTCCCTCCCCATGGCTAGCTGTCTTCTTTCTACTTTGCTACACGTAAATTGATTTTTTTTTCTTTTAGAAAAACATTAAGCTTTATAAAATAGCAATAAAAACTTGTTTAATAAGAAATGTTGGTTGTGGTTTTGGTGGGCTTTTTGTATGTACCATTTCTAGTGAAAGCATGAACAGCTGGAACATAGCCAACCAGCTCCTCATAAACCTGTCAGATCTTTTTGCTAAAACTTCCCAGTGATTCCATATCACCAAAACTATCATAATTACGTGAGCACTTGTGGGGTAGAGGAACTCTGCAGCTGAGCTTCTAATTTGCACCGAGTCAGCATCTCTCGAGCTTCCAGCTGATTCGGATGTTTAGCCAATGTAGGATCACTGGCGAGTGCAGAACACCTCCCTGCCTTGTGGTGGTGTCCATAAGATTAAGTGTTTGTCAGTCCAGCAAATGCCCCTTTAGTTCAAAACTAAAAAGTGCCTAAGGCACTTAACTATTAACCAGAAGGCTGGCAGTTCAAACCACCAGGTAATCCTCGGAAGGAAGGCTGGGCAATCGACTTCTGTAGAGATACTACCTCGGAAACCCAAGGAGGGGTCGCTATGAGTCAGATGCGACTTGACAGCAGTGAGTTTGGTTTGGTTTGGTTTGGTTTGGGACAGCACTGTAGTTCAGGAGAGATCTTGAAACATCCTTTGTGATGATGAATGCCACACCATTCCCCTTCAATTTCTCATTCCAGGCATAGTAGATCCTATGGTTGTCAGACTGAAATGACCAAAACCAGTCCATTTCAGCTCACTAATGCCTAGGATATCAATCTTCATGCATTCCATTTCATTTTCTACAACTTCCAATTTTCCTAGATTCATACTTCATACATTCCATATTCTAATTATTAATGGATGTTTGCAGCTCGCTCTTCCCATTTTGAGTCATGCCACATCAGCAAATGGAGGTCTCAAGAGCTTTACTCCATCCACAGCATTAAGGTCGACTCTACTTTGAGCTCTTCCCCAGTCATATTTTGAGTGCCTTCTGACCCGAAGGGCTCATCTTCTGGCACTGTATCAGACAGTGTTTCAGGGCTAGTCATAATGTTTCCCGCAATATATCAGACAGTGTTTCACTGCTATTCCTAAGGTTTTCATTGGCCAATTCTTTGAGAAGTGGATGGCCCCTCCCTTCTTCCGAGTCTGTCTTTGTCTAGAAGCCCTGCTGAAACCTGTCCACCATGGGTGAGCCTGCTGGTGTTTGAAATACTGGTGGCATAGCCTCCAGCCTCACAGCAACATGCAAGCCACCACAGTACAACAAACTGGTAAGTAAGTGGTGGGATTTGGATTTTACTAGCACTCTAGTGACATATTACATTGTAACTGAATCCTGCTGTACTGCACACCTTTACCATTATCTTCTCACATACACCATGTCTTAGATAAACAGTGCATTGAACCAATAGAACTCATGTTGTTGTTATGTGCTGTCGAGTTGGGCCCGACTCATAGTGACACCTCCTTGGGTTTCCGAGGCAGTATCACTTTGGAAGTAGATTGCCCAATCTTCCTTCCAACCCATAGGTAATCATGAAAGCACCTTTACTTTGTTACCACGTATTCCTTTAAGACTGGTCAGTGGAAGCAATCAATTTGCCTTTGTATGAAAATTAGGACAAGTGCCATGATTTTTCTGGAGCCAAGGCAGTGTGTTTGGTTTGATTTTTAAATAGTCTATTGTTGTTATGTGCCATCGAGTCAGACCTGACTCATAGTGAACCCTCCTTGGTTTCCGAGGCAGTATACTACAGAAGTAGATTGCTCAACCTTCCTTCCGAAAAGTGGTTGGTGGGTTTGAACCGCCAGCCTTCTGGTTAGTGGTCAAGTGCCTTAAGCACTATGCTACCAGAGCTCCTATTTTATAGTCTGGTCACTTAAAATTTGAGAGGAAAATACAGTCCTTTCGTCTTTTCCTCACTGAGCAACTTTCCTCCTCCCTCGGCATACTTTTCTAGATTTCTAATACCAACAAGGTCAAAACAAGGGCAGAAATACAGGTAAAGGAAGGAAGAAAGCAACTGTTAGGCAGGCATTATTGTAAGCAGGCTTCTCTAACAGTGGGACTG